AGCCAAACCCAAGGGTCAGCTCAAGGCTGCGCACTCTATCTTTAACACAGCACCAAATAGGTGATTATCACCTTTTACCACCATTACTAAGCTCTGAGTTTGAGTCTGTGCAAAAACAAAGGCCTCTTCAATTTGGCAATGGGGATCCAGAACAAGGAAATTCCAAGCCTCATCCAGGAAATTCACACCTTGTTCAGCAGGGAAGGGAGCTTACCCAGCTCCTCTGAGCACATGCCTACCCCTTAAAGAAGAAGTTAAATGCCTCATCCACAGTCAATGGCAGAGCCAGGATTTGAATTCAGGTCCCCTGATACTAAGCTCAATATTCTTGCCACTATGTTGTTGTTGTTTAGCTGTGTCCACCCTTTGTGACCCCATTTAGGGTTTTCTTGGCAAAGATATTGGAATGGTTTGCCATTTCCTTCTCCAGCTCATTTTACAGACGGAAAAAATAACTGAAGGGTTAAATGACTTGCCCAAGGTCACAGAGACAGTTAATGTCTGAGGTTGAATTTGAACTCAGGTCTTTCTGACTCTAGGCCCACTGAACTATCCCTGGCCATCTAGCTGCTATTAATTTACCTCCATATCTTTTTATCTCCTTAAGAACCACCCACTCTCCTTGAGGGAAAGTTATGGACACTCCTCAGTACATAGGGTCCCTTCAATAAAATGTTATGTTCTAATAACCATTAAAAAACTTTCAGGAAGATTTTCAATATGTTGGGTAGATCTGATATGGAGGATTTATACTTAGATGTGGACAAGAGTTGCATAGCATGAGAGGGAGTAAGCACCTCATGTGATTGAAATTCTTAGATCCATTAAAAAGTCACCAAAATGAACTGGCCCAAACTACACGTTCATATTCTTGTGGCATAGTTGTGTTCCTGCATCTCTGTCTATATTCAGAATCCAACATCTCCAGCTAGGAAGGGCCAGAGTAGCCCCATCTCTTTAAGACAGGAGTCCTCAAAAATGTAGCAGCACCAGCATCCTTCGCTTTAGAAGGCTCTTCAACAGAACCTTTGCAGTAAAATCTTTAGAATGTTTTTTTTTAGCTGATTAGGACTAATGGTACCAAAAACACATCACTGATTTAAAAAATCCATTTTCAGATCAGTTTTATTCAGTCTAACAATAATACAAATTATTTATTCATAAAGACCTGATTGTTTGCTATCTAGTCATAAGTGTTTTATAATTGGAAACAACATTGGGAACAATAGCTTATTCTGAAAGCTGCTACACAACAATTTTCATTTTCCCTTTTATTTACATAAGCCAGAAATGTTTGAGATTGTTTCAGTTCATACTTTTACTTGAAAAATCCAATAATATTGCTTTTAAGTTTGCTATGTTTTGATAAATGAAACATACTAGGAAGCATGGAAAGCGATGTAAGAGAAACTTAGCAAAGACAAGATTAGTCTACATATGTTGCCTGCAACTACATGTCTACATAACATTTTCTTTTTAAGAGATACATACACATATATGTATTTTAAGAAATAAAAGCCAGAAGTAAGAGAACTTCAGACAGGTTTGGAAGGAGACATAGAACAAAACCATTTTTTACTTGTTGGAGCTTTCATTTGGTTCTACTGCATTTTGTTAAATGCTAAGGTGTTTATAGTCTATTTTAGTACTTATTTTGTATGTTTATTTGATTTTGTTTTATTAATGGCTTATGCTTCTTTTAAGTTGTTTGATCTTGCTTGTAAATGCTTTTGTAATTTTTCCAAAACCATGATTTTGTTAACAAAACAGACATTGTTTATTAAGGTCTCTACGAGGAAGTCTAAACTGGAGATAGCTACTGTCATATTGGCCTTTCCTCCAGTAGTTTAGAATTTGATACTGCAGAAAAATTTATGGATGTTTATTTCATCAGGGTAATGGCTATGAATACTTATCTCTTTATTTAACTCTTCAAATATTCTGAAATTTCTAATAATATAAATGAACACCACTCATTTTATGTGTACTTGGCCAAGATACTGAAAATCATAGACCTTTAGGTTAGACCTCAGAAGTTATCATACCTCATTTGACTCATACCTAAAATAGAATACTTTTTTAATATCTCAGACAAGTGGTCATACAGTATTTACTTGAAAACTTATAATGAGGTAGTCCATTCCACTTTTTGGATAGCTCTCATTGTTAGAAAAAGTTCCTAATAATTACATTAAGCTTAAATCTGCTTCTTTCTACATTCTACCCATTGCTTCTGGTCTGCCCTCTGTGGCCAGAGAATAAGTCTAATCCCTCCTACATGACAGCCCTTTGAATATTCAAAGACAGCTACAAATTCCTCTATAAATCCTCTCTTTTTGAGGTGAAATACCTCCAGTTCCCTTCAACTGATCTTTCTATGTCATGATCTCAGGCCCTTTTCATCATTATGATCAACCTCCTCTGGACACTCTAGCTCATCAATGTCCTTCCTAAAAGGAGGCACCCAGAAAAGATCAGGGTAGAATGTTAATGGGGCTATCGCCTCCATAGGATAGAATATGTCTTCTTTGCAATTTATCCTGTATATATCTTGTTTGTACATACTTATTTGCATTTTGTCTCCCCCATTAGATCGTCAGCTCTTTGAAAGCGGGGATTATTTTATGCCTTTCTTTGTATTTTGAGAGCTTAGCACAGTGCCTGGCACACAGTAGGCTTTTAATAAATGTTTACCAGCTCACTGACCTTCCCCACCTTGATACTTCTGAGGGTGATTTTTTAAAATGCCAAGTACAAGAGATCAACTAGAGCATACATGATTGATTCTAGACCTGTAACAGTATTGCCTTTTTAGTCATATGATAGATTTTGACCCATGATAGATGATTTCTGTCAGTTGACAACCCATCGTACGCAAACTACAACTGGGTAGCTCTGAGTCAGTCAACTAGCATTTATTAAGTACCTACTATGTGCCAGGCACTGTTCTAAGCACTGGAGATAGTATGTCCTCAGCCCTCTAGTTTCCAGGGAGCAGAATTTGAATACTTTCTTTTGTAACTGTACCCTCTCAAGTAAATACTATAGGGCACCACCTGAATGACCCTGTCGATTATCAGTGCAAACTTCAAGCCTGATTGTAGAAGGAGAGCCTATGTCCCAACAGTGTGGTCTACTTCAGAGACTTTGACTAGATACCCTTCCTCTGCTCCTTCCATATAATTCTACTAAGAGCCTCTGTTTTGGATAATCTTCCAACTCTAGTTTCTGACCCTTCTTGAGAGAGACATCCTATTCAAACCAACAAGCGAGCAAATTCCTAGCTATGTACCCATAGCCTGCTATACAACATACAGGGGTTTTTTGCTTGAAAAACTTACAATTAAGTAAGGGAAATGGGAGGTAGGGCATAGAACCTATGCATGAAGATCATATAAGGGACGTAGGGACAAAGTACCAGGAGCATTCCAAGGGAGAAAACGCTGAAATGTCCCCAGGCTCCCCTTTTCATCTCTTACCCCACCACACAAACACACATTCAGTTCACTTTTTTGCCATCATTCAAACAAATAAAACCCCATCTCTAACAAAAAGAAGTAATGATCTTTTTGATGACTCCTCCTCTTTTAAACAGATAAAGTCTACTAAGACTCCCTCTCTGTTTACCTTCCATTAAATGCTATTACTTCCATTCTGGACACAGTATATATGCACTGTATTTGACTGATACACTTGATGTTATATATATATTATTATATATATTTTATCATATATATTATTTATATCTGTTTTCTTCAGTGTTGTCTTAGGCTGTAAGCCCCCTGACATCAGGGGTCTGAGCATCATTGTACAGAGTCTTGCAAAGCACCATATGTAGGTGCCCAATACACGCACTTGGCAAGGATGTGTTATATGTGTTCCAGAGCATTATTAGATGAAAGGAGCATATGCTTAATTGGTGCACTTGTCAGAAGCCTCAACATCATGAGATTGATAGCCTGTCCCAAAGCACTGGTCGGTTCATGCACATACCTGAGCTAACCAAATCCTTTCTCAACTGTTTTCCAATTTTCTGTGCCATGACAAGCAGCCAGAGGGTCACAAACAGACCTACTGGTAGTGAACATACCTGAATCTTAGTTCTAAAGAATTCTGAGAGCTGCTAGCTTCAGTGTCTGCTCCCAGAATCTCTACAAGTTAATTTCCATTCCTCAGCAGTTCCCTGGCCTTTTCTTTCTTTCTTGTATTTTTTTTTAAGTCCACTCTCTTTTGACTCACTGCAGATCAATACTAGTTCCATAGAGCCCATTACTCACATTGGGTTATGGAGACTCTTGGTCCTTCAGAGGTCCTTCAGACTTGTATGTGTCCCAAGATAGTTAGCAAGTGTGCCTATGAGTGAGGAATCTGTAGCCCTGGGACACCAATTACCATCTAATACCAATTGCCCAGCCACAAATGCTGTTCTCTTTATCAAGGCCTTTCCTTTGGGCAAATTGGTTCCCAAAAAAGCCTCCACACCACAGAAAGAGAAGGAAACTGGGCTGGGCAAAATCCCACCTGATCTGAGCCAAGTGCTAAATAAGCATTCATATCATTCATTCATTTGCAAGTCTGACAATCAGGATACTCTGATCTTATGCAGAACTTTAAAATGTTTTCACATCTCTTAGATAAGGAAGTGGGCTCTGAAATCATCAACCAAAACCATCTTCCTCGAGAGGCAGGCTCATGAAGAACACAGGGCTCCCTCCCACAACCTCGTACCACCACACAGTTCACCAAGGTCTCCAGCCCCAGTGAGACATCACTCAAAGAGGCTGTAGCTCAGATGCCACAAGATTTTCTCCCAAAGAAAACAAGACCTCTTCTCAGCCCTGAGATTGCTCCTCCTCTATAAATCTGAGGATCTCTCCCCAACACTCCCTAGGTCATAATCAGAGGCTAAATGCTGAGGTTCTACATCCCTGAGCACTCATGTTGGAGACCAAAGGCTCCCAAGTCTTTCCTGGCTGGTCCCAGGCCCTTCTTTCCCTTACCTTGTTCAGGCAAGGTTGGGGCTGGTCTGGCAGTGCAGAGTGTGGCTGTGACCAGCACAGCCCAGAAAAGGAGACCCTTCCAGCTCCACATCCCAGTTCTGCAGTTACAGATCGGTGACAAGGCTCCACACCTCCATGGGGACTCTACCCGATCCTTGGGCTTGACCCGCCTTCTCAAGGTGTCCCTGGGGAAAGGAAAATCAGAAAGAGATGAGGTAACATTAGGTGGAGAAGAAAATAGTAAGGGTGGGTGGGGGCGAGGGTCCCCTACACTATGTTATCATTTTCTCCAAGCTATGCATAAAGGGATAACTTGTAAAGGCATGGAGGATTAGGGTAGTTATCCCCATCCTGGTACTAGATTCTGGGCATCTGACTTTTTTTTTGAAGACTGGGTCTTCCCTCTTAGAAGTGTAGAGGCTGCTTATGCGACCATTCCACTACTGACTGGCATGGGGGCTTTGACTCATTTCATTTCTGATGTGGGCTTGTTCAGCCCTCCTTGGGCAATATTTGAGCCCTGCTCCCAGGGGCTCAAAATATGGGTGCTGAACTTAGTTTGGCATGGCCTCTGAATAGCCTACTGCAGCTCAAAACTCCTGAGCTCCAGAGATCTGACAGCCTCAGCCTCTCCAGTGGCTAAGATTAAGGTGTGCACCACCATGCCATTCTGAACACAGTATGTAACTATATATACAATATGGCTATTTATATAAGTGTGTATACACACACACACACACACACACACACACACGGTATACAGTATACATACATATAATCCCACATATATACTATATATATAATTGTTGTTCAGTCCTTTCAGTCACATCTGACTCTTTGTGACCCCATTTGGGATTTATCTTGGCAACGATACTGCAGTGGATTGCCATTTCCATCTTCAGCTCATTTTACAGATGAGGAAACTGAGGCAAACAGGGTTAAGTGACTTGCCCAGGATCACATAGCTAAGAAGTGTCCAAGGCTGGATTTGAACTCAGGTCTTCCTGACTCCACGGCCAGCACTCTATCCGGTGCACCACCTAGCCACCCGTGTGTGCAGTATATATACTGTATTTGATGTTCTGCTTTGAATACAAAACCAAGGCCTCAAAATTTTGCCACAAAGTTGCCTCTAAGGCTAGAATGCCAGGAAATCCAGGGTTACATAGTGACCTCCTAGCTTTGCTGAGGGAAGTATCACTTGGTCAAAAGCTTTATACAAGCTTTTTAAGGGGAAGGGAGGAGAGTGGAAGAGTATCGCAGGTATCCTAATGATGATCCCAATTACTACACGGTGAATTGGATAAAATTCTGGGCATACAGTCAGGAAGAAATCACTGAACCTGGAGTCCATGGGAAGAACCGAGTTCAAATCCAGCCTCAGAAACTTTAAGCTATGTGACCCTGGACAACTCATCTAACTTATATCTGCCTATAATAGCATCTACTTCCCAGGGTTGTTGTGAGGATCAAATGAGATAATATTTGTACAGTGCTCTAAAAATCTTAAAGCTCAATATAAAAGCTATCTTTTAAAATTATTATTATTACAACAATTCACTCAGAAAGCCAATTCCATTGGTGGTGGTGCATGGAGAGGACATGATAGAGGGGTAGCTAGGTAGACTACTAGACCTGGAGTCAGAATGTACAGAATTCAAATCTAGCCTTAGATACTTATCAGGTGTGTGACTCTGGGCAAGTCACTTAACTTCTGTTTGCCTGTCTCCTCATTTGTAAAATGGGGATAATAATAGTATTTACCTCCCAGGGTTGTTGAGGATAAAATATATTTGCAATATTACAATGACTACAGGGGCAGCTGGGTGGTGCAGTGGATAGAGCACTGGCTTTGAAGTCAGGAGGACCTAAGTCCAAATCCGGCCTCAGACACTTGTCATGTACTAGCTGTATGACCCTGGGCAAGTCACTTAACCCCAACTGCCTCACCCCCCCAAAAAAATTACAATGACTACCAAAATTTATTTAGAATACCAATTCCCCTGGTGGTGATGAGTGGAGAGAGTATGGTGCAGAGAAAAGAGCACTAGTTGGGTGGTTAAAAGTCCTGGGTTGGGGCAGCTAGGTAGCGAAGTAGATAGAGCCCTGGCCCTGAAGTCAGGAGGACCTGAGTTCAAATCTGGCCTCAGACCAAACACTTGACACTTACTAGCTGTGTGACCCTGGACAAGCCACTTAACACCAATTGCCTTAAAATTTTTTTTTAAAGTCCTGGGTTTTAATTTAACTATCTGTGTAATCTTAGGCAAGTCATTTTAGTTTTTCTAAGCCTCAGTTCCCTATCTCCAAAATGAGGGAGTAGAAATAGGTTATCTCTACATTTCCTTCCAGTCCTAAATCCTGAGATCCTTTGAAGTAAACTTACCACTTTTAGCCTCAGTTTCCTCGTAAAATGAAAAAAAAAATTGGGTTAGATTCCTTACAGGCCTAAAAATTTCTTTTGGCTTTAAGATTCTATGATCCTATGAATAAGGGAGAAACTACTAGCCCTCACTTACTAGAAGAGTCTCAAACCTTTCTAGCTACTAAGGACAACTTTCTTAGATGTTATCATGGAACTACAGGATGAACTCAAGACTTATGATTAGGGAAAAACATAGGAACTAGAAGGGTCTTTGGAAGTCACTTAGTCCAGCTCCCTCATTTTATAAATGAGGAAACTGAGGCTCAGGAGGGAAATGATATTCTCAAGGTGCTACTGCCACTACTTGGACTTAAGTCTTCTAAGCGTAAATCCAGTGCTCTTTCCACTCTACCCTGCTGTCTGCTTAGTGGGGAGGCCTGTGTAATAAGGCCATGACTCAAGAATGGCTCATCGTTGGCTCTTGGCCAATAGCATACCACCTCTATGACTTCCTTTCTATAATTCTCCAAGTAGTGAAGACAAAAGCAAGGCCATATACTCCTCTGGGGTCAACTCATTGTGGTTAAATATTTACTAAACAATAGGCCTCCTGGGTACTGGGCAGATTCTATCTATCTATCTATCTATCTATCTATCTATCTATCTATCTATCTATCTGCAGGATATAGCTATATATTTATTTGTATATATACATATATAGGGAGATATAGTTATACATAAATATCTTATTTAACATTTAAAAAGTATTTAAAATTAGCAAAGTACTTCACATATGTTATCTCAATTGAGTTGAACCATCCTGAAAGGTGAATGCTATTGTTATCCCCATTTTACAGACAAGGAAACTGAGGCAGGCAAAAGTTATGTGACTTGCCCAGGGTCACATAAGCTATTAAGTCTGAGGCAGGATTTGAATTCCGGTCTTCTACTATGAAGACATGAAGGCAGACACATACACACACACACACAGATACATGTATATAATCAGGTGGCTTTCATCTTAAATGCTCTGAGAAGCCATCTAAATTATTTAGAGAATCCCCTTCTCTGGAGCATGCCCTACTGTAATGCATCGACCTTGCTTCTCCCCCTGAGCCAGGCTGGGCCCCCTGCAAGTGAGTCAGTGCTGGCTGGCAGCAGACTCCATGAATTCTTGGCTTTGGGCACATGTTCTCTTGAGCGAGCGCAGGAGTGGGTGAGCGGGCTCGTGTTCACACACACACACACACACACACACACACACACACACACATCTGTCCCCACTCTTCACCACAACTTCAGCCTGTTTCAGCTAAGGGGCTGTGTCATGACAGTAAACAACTGAGAATCATTGAACAGAACTCTTCCCTCTGATTCTCCCTTTCCTGATCCCAGTCGAAGCTGTGTATGTTCCAGGCATTTAGGAAGCAGCTCACTTACTGATATTCCATTTTAGACATAGGAGAGAGCGCCTGACCTTCCAAACGTAGTCAGCTACAAGAATGCTATCCCTCCCCCCCAGGTTTTTGTGTCTTTTCGGATACTATGGTTTCATGGGTTCAGGGAGCTCCCCAATGAGGTAACTCCCTTTCCCAGTACACATCAGCAGTTACTTTGAAATTCACAGTCTTAGAGGACTGCCTGGACCTAAGAGATTAAGTGACCTGCTCATGGTCACATAGCTAGCAATGTCAAAGGCTAGACTTGAATGTAGGCTGTCGAGACTCTGAGGTTTATTCCCTATTTATTAGGCACTTCAAAGTTATATCTCAAATTATTCCTTCCTCCTTACAACGGTCAGGCCAATTTGGATGAGTCCAAGGGATGACCACGGGGTCCCCTGTATCGCCTATCATCTTTGAGGTGAGGAAGGCAGAGAGGGGACAAAAAAGAGTGTCTATTTCAAGCCTTTTTCTCAGAAAGAGCCCAAGTTCCATCTTTCCCAAATTCAACTTTAAAAATGGAGATAGGAGGAAACAAACTGGGTGACCATGGAGAGAGAAATCACTTGGCCTTTCTGGGCCTCAGTTTCTTTATCTGTAAAAATAGGATGCTGGTCTGTTAAAATAATTTAGACCATTAATCTCAAAGAGATTATATATTAAATCCATTAGACTTGTTCTGCATTGCTTCTTATTGCCCTTCACCACCTTCAAATATTGCACGGTTCAGCAGACACATGCATTCTACCACTAACATCCAGAGATAGTAGTTGTGAAAGAACAGCTATAAAGATTCTCATAATGCAACCTTGGTAATAACTAATAAAGCATTTAAAGTCAGTAAAATGTTTTACATGTCATTTCATTTGATCCTCACAACAAACTCATGAAGTAGGTAGTATGAATATTATCATTCCCATTTTAGAGATGAGGCTATTGAGGTTAAGTGATTTACCAGGATCCACAAGTGTTAAGTGTCAGAGCACAGATACTGAATCAGATTCCTCCAAATTCTGAGTCTAGCACTCTTTCTAACACACTGTCTTCACTTTAAAGTCCCCTGGAAACTTTCACCATCTCCTTCATGCCATCTTGTCCACTTCACATTAACTAATGAATTCTTACAACCCATTTGGAAGATCTGCATGCCTTGTACAGAGCTTCCTCTGGGGTTGTTTGTAGATACTTTCCAAAGAAACAACCTAAAACTGGCTTACCCACCCATGGAGGAAAGGCTTTGTCACTAAGAGACATCCAATACAGATCAAGGGGTTGTTATTTTCAGTTCCCACAATTCTCGCTGTTTTCCCCAAGGTTCTTAATTCAGATTTTGATTAGCCCAAAGGACCCAGAACAATGAGTAGGAAATGAGGTATTA